GGAGTACACTCCCAACTCATGTCTATGATAATGGCTTGAACCTTAGTCAGTGCTGGGGTAAATTCGACATTGATGTTTTCAGTTTGCAGGAGGTTTGCTCGACTGCTTATACTGATTATTTGCATGCATGATTGTGTCGCTAAACCTCCAATTAGACTGACAAGGTTTTGAGATATTTACTGAATAAGCAACTGATAGAGAAACATACTGTAATCATCTGTAGTGAATGAAGATAAAAGAAAAACAACACTAGTGATAATTATAAGTCAATTTGCTGACCGATTTTGTTAATAGTTTCATTAATTTTATCAATCATATTACGTGATTGTCAGGTCATGACAATGGTTTATGACGATATCCTGAAACTATTATGTTTAACTAGTTATAGTGTTGAATGAGGATTAGTCAGTGGAAAAATAGGTATTGTTGTGATTCGAGATTATCAGAAATTTGTAACGTTAAAGAATCTGAGACACCTAATTTAATTATAAATTTTAATTCAGAAAGATTCGTTTAGTGTTAATTCTAGTAGGCTACAGAGTTTTGATTTTAAACGTTTGTTTAGCCAACAGCTACCTAGGGATCTAGTTATTTTACTAGTGCAGTTGATAGTACCTAAATTTTTAATCTTATTATCTAAACTATGTTCGCATTTTAGGCTGCTAATATGATACACCAATCCATAAACCCAAATACGATTAGCAACAACGACTATGATGGGTTTATTGATAAATGTTAAAGGCGATTCAGATGATTTCTAAATTCAAAAGATATGAAGATATAGTAAAACGTATGTACGGGCCAGGTTAACATGCAGGTTGTTGACGTATATAAAAATTTAAAAATAATGAACATGACCAGAAAATAATTTTAAAGTTAAGACTGCTTGTGAAACTTCAGGCAGGAATATGATGCGTTATAAACCTTCCATAAGAAGTTACTGCATTTAGCTTAGTGACACTTACAAATATATGGCAAAAGCAACTGAAAAACATATACATGTTAAGTACAAAAAAAAACATCACTAAGTAAAATAGTTGAACTCGCCTGGGTTATTTTCGATTATATTATTCAGTGGACGACATATATAACGCCATTCGTGAGGAGTAGTAATGATCCAAAAGTATCCAGAATAAAACATGCAGTATGGCAATTAATTCCAGAGTCCTTGATGCTGTTGACGTTTTTGCCACTCGCTCGGATCAGAACAACCGGATGAATTCAGATAATTGTGCGGTCACCATTGAACGAGCCATCTAAAATGACCTTATGATTGCAGAAAACTTATGGCTGAAACCCACCGTATGTTTTTAGAGAAGTCATCCTCGTTGTTTGGCAATGGAACTCGAGAATATGAAATTAGGCAGGCAGTGGTCAGAAGAAAAGATATTACAGGATAGGGCATCGTTTAAAACAGGATGAGGTGTTAAGTGAAGGAACACTGAGAATTAGATCCAGATAACTATTTAGTCCTTGATCGCATTGTTAGTCAATGTATATTTACGCTATTTACAGGTCATATTTGCTAGAGCTTGATGTTTGAACAAGTCTATGTCGCTGAAGCATGTAAATGCTATTAAAGCTTGTTAACGAACCATCAAAGCTAATTACTTAATATAGACGACCAGTTTTTACTATTGATTGGGCTAGTATATCATGAGAACTAATCGATATAACATTACGATAATACATGTGAGCATTAATTATAGGACTATTAGAATATTGGGTTAACATAAATATATAATAGATCAAGAAAGTTAAAGTCGAAATATGATTAGCAATAATAGGTTGCGTTTCTTTAGTCGGGCTTACCAATGTAGAATTATGGTCTACTATGATATTAGTACTGCTCTTATAATAGACCTAATCCCAAATTTGTAGATTTGTCATGATATAACTGCCTAATCTATAAGATCTTACGTGGAAGTCACACCATCGACTACACCAACTCACTGTATCGTATCAATTACCAATACATGATGTAGAACAAGGTTAGGCTAGAGAAGGAACAATATATTTAATATGAATAGAAGATATAAGGTAACATTCAGATGGACCACGCCTGCATGGTCGAGCCATGCCATCCGATCAACTCCAGTCCATTCAATTCATTCTTCGCGCCTTCTCCATCGTTAGGTATTTATCCGCGTTAAATATTGAATATCTATTTTCTGAGTAGTCTCGTGTTCAGCTTTGTGGATTGTGCGGCTATTGTTCAATGCCACTACAGATTCATCTTTGGAGTGCGAATAGCAGATAATTGATAATAGGAGAAATTAAAGCACCTGATATCGGTTGGACTGCGATGACCATGGAAGGATCTACAAACTCCTTTGACATTAGGTTCCTGATAACAATAATGGAGCATGTATTAGTGCATTATGTGTCCAAACCCACTCGTTTTGGTGCTAACCAAGGTTCTTCTCTGTTGGACTTGGTAATCACTCATGAGACTGAGGATATTATCGACCTAAATATTCTTCCACCCTTAGTGAATAGCGATCACGCTGTTTTGTCATTTGCGTTTAGAACTAGGAACATGTTATACGGTCAGGTTACACCCCGTCCAAATGTATGGAAAGCTAACATGTCAGCCATTCATAAATAAGCTGCTAAGAGAGATTGGCTTGTAGATACTAGTTTATCAGTTGAAGAAGCATGGTCTATACTTAAAGATAAGTTTAGTTTAGTAGCGTCCTCGTTCATACCATACTTGGTACCGCGAAGACCGAATAACAGTCCACCATGAATAACTAAACCCGTCAGGAAACTTCTCAGAAAAAGGAAGGAGCACTGGGATATGTTCATCTCTACTGGCTTAGAACAATACAGATCCAGTTATTGTAAGATCAGGAATGCTTGTAAAGCCTTGATAAGTAAGACTAGACGACTATATGAAAAACAATTGGTTAGGGATTCTAGATATAGTCCGAAACGGTTATTCTTTTATTTAAAAAGGCAAACTCAGAGAAGCGATGGAATTCCATCACTTTTGATACAAGAAAATCCGTTAATCTTGGCAGAAAGTGATACCGAAAAAGCTGAAGCTACATCAGAATATTTCAGTAGTGTTTTTTATTAGTATTGAGGAACGACCAACAATTCATTATGATTGTGGCGGCTCGCTGATGGACCGCATAGTCATTGAAAAAGGTACTGTTTTAAGGCTATTTCGACATCTCAAACCTGATAAGTCCAGTGGTCCTGATGATATTCATACTAGGATTATGAAAGCCATATCAGATGTAATCTCTGAGACAGCGATACTGTTTGACATGTCTCTGAGGCAGTCCAAACTGCCCAGAGATTTGAAAGACGCTATAATAAGTTCGGTGTATAAGGTTGAGAGTAGGGATTTAGTTAGTAACTGAAGACCCGTTAGCTTGACCAGTGCGTTTGTAAAGCTGATAGAAGAAATTATTCGGATATCTGTTATAAACTATGTTGAAGGGCATAATCTTTTCTCCAGGGAACAACATGGTTTTCGGATAGACCTATCATGCTTGACAAATCTTCTCATTGCAAGAGAAGATTGGGCTGCCGCAAAAGATCGAAATGTTCTTGTGGATGTGATCTTCATAGACCTAAGTAAGGCCTTCCATAAGGTCTCCCATTCTGGTCTTAAATTTAAACTGGAACGTTTTGGAATCCATTAAACTGTCGTAGAGTGGATAAGTAACTTTCTCCAAGACAGGAGACAAAGGTAATGGTAAATGGGGCTCTCTACTCGTGGGTACCTGTAAAAAGTGGAGTTTCCCAAGATACAATCCTCGGTCTTCTTCTCATTTTACTCTGTGTAAGTGAATTACCAACTGTAGCAAAACCATCCGTTCTGCTCTTCGCCGACGACATATAGATTTGGAGACCCATACACAGTATGTCAGCTAGAATACTATTACTGGATGATACCAGCTCATTGGTGGCATGGTCGGACAGGTGGTCACTGAGAGCGAATCCTAATAAGAGTGGTGATGCAAATAAATAACTATGATGAATCGTATCACTATACAATATGTGGATTCGTGCTACCCAAACTAAGAAACCATAAAGATTTAGGAGTCATATTAAGCAGCTGAAGATGACACAGGTATTCAGTGTTTGACAACGCTTCTACCAGTAACACCTAATATGATTTGTACCCACCGAGAGAAATCAAAAGACAGAGTTGAGGAGATCGGAAGAGTATATTTGGCGATAACCAATATATCGGAATTCTCTGACCTAATCTGGCTAGCGATTGCGGTAGATGTTTAGCACGGCGTTACCACACGTGATCTGGTGTGGATGCCTGACCGAGCGCCTTCAGCTAGATGAGTTCACTAAAACATATGGTCAGTATCCAATGTCGAAAACTTACAGGGCTATTTATTTTGGGGATTTATTTACCGCCACACAATGAACTCGAAACCACTAGTCACTGTAAAGCTGCTGCTGCAATAGGCTATAGGGTATTATGGTCTATCTTTCCAGTATTTAGATGATGAAATGTTCGGATTATTATACCCGATTTACGTGCGACCACATTTAGAATATGGGATTCAAACAGCGAGCCCTTGCTTCAAGTATGAAGCAGACATGCTGGAAAGAGTTCAACGACGAGGTACTAAGATGTTGAAAGGTCTATCTGCCCTGTCTTACGAAGACAGACTGAGACACATCAACTTATTTCCGTTACCGTAGAATACGGGGTGATCTAATATTGGCTTATCGTATACTGGACGATGATCTTGGTATTAACATGTCTTATCTCTTGCTTCCGTCTAGCACCGATCATTTGAGAGAACATTCGAAGGAAGTTCAAAAACCGAGATCAAATCGTTTACGCCTGGAGTTCCGCGGAACGCGTTTCTCGCATTGAGTAGTGAATTACCTGAATTCTCTACCGGAACACGTAATATCAGCACCTTCTGTTGGTATATTCAGGACGAGATTGAATCTCCACAGTATTACACACTGAAAAGATTAATATAGGTCGACAGACCTATCCTTATCACTGAAGACTGAAGGCCGCAGTTACTTGCGCCAGTATTGAAGGTCGTCGAACCTTTTCGGAATGAAATGGTGCTGGTTGAATTTTTGTTACTGTATCTTTTCTGTTTTGTTGGTATGTTGGCTACTAAACGTATAAATTAACTTCAGTCAAGTATTAGCTTGTCGTACGGAAGACACACATCAAATTGGGCTGTTCTTGTAGATACTTCGCGGTTCTGGTTCAACTATCGACATATAAGCAATGTCCTTTCAATTTATCGAAGTATCAAGCGCCTCGGAATACCAGATAGGTATCATATTTATTATTATATTTATTCATCTTAAAAGCCGTATTATTTTGATGGTGGCTGATGATGCAAGTTGTAGCTCGAGAAATCCGAGACCAGGTAAGATATTTGACGTATCCTTATGGTCTTAGCAACAATCTTCAACAATCCTTACAGTCGGGTAAATTTGTATGGCGAAGAGATAGAGATTGATTATCGTGGTTACGAAGTTACTGTAGAAAACTTCATTCGTATATTAACTGGGCGTTTACCTCCTTCGACACCTACTTCTAAGCGCCTCAATACTGACGAGCACAGTAATATCCTAATATATATGACAGGTAGTTCCTAAAAACTTTAATTCCGGCTTCAGGCCATGGTGGTGATGGTTTCCTTAAGTTTCAAGATGATCATGAGCTTTCTAACAGTGAACTGGCCGATGCGATTGAACAGATGTGGCAAAAACGTAGGTGAGTCTGGATTTATCAGTTTTTAACTTGGAAAGTTGAGTCCATACTCTTCAAAGGCACTGTTTTATCTGTTGGTTACAGCGGTTTAATTTATGGCAGAACGAGGACTAAATTTTTACACTTCTGTGCCTGCTTACTGTGCTGATCTAAGTTTATGGGTTTAATATTGAAATTTAACAATTTGACTAACCCTGTTTAATGTTCAAAAGTTCAACTAGTTGTTTTTCAGATTGGTGTAGTAAGGACAGGGCCTTATGCCTATGTCATTCTTTTTCTAGTATGGTTTTGTGAGTGCCTAGTCTTTTCTCGAACGAGTCAATTGAAAGTGCGGACACCACTGCTTCGGGTAACAGGTTCCAAGTATTGATGACTCGGTATAAAATCCTGCATGCCACGGGTATTTTGTTCGTTCTTCGCTTTTATACTCTTATGTCCTCTGAGATGTCCCGATCTTGTGGGAAGAAAAAGAGAATATATTAGGTCCAAAATCATTTCTTAGTATTCTACACATCAGTACTAGATCTCCCGTTAGTCTGCGATAGGACAGAATAGAGAGGTCCAGCTTTTCAAGCCTCTCTTTGTATGGTGAACCCCGGAGTTTTGGAATTGCACGGGTAGCTGCCCTCTGTATTTTTTCCAGGATATCCGAGTCACTTTTTATTGTAAACAGCAGCATTATTATGTACAAGTCTGTCGTTGGAGATGTTATTATTACGTAAATGACAAATTAGTCGTTTATGCATACTGTTTATGTTCCTGGCTGTTAAAGATACACTAATTTTCACTTCATATGCAACATATAGAAGTATTAGCCCCTCAAAAATAACCATATTCTCAATACCGATTAAATGAAGCTATCAGCCATTTCATAAGCACTCATAATAAACGCCAGCATGTTTATAGCTGTTTATTCGACATCATTTGTATCGATGACCCAGAACTTTCAAATTTACACTTACACATTCAAAATGGTAGACTCAAAAAAAGCTGCAGGGTGTCAGAAGAAACGAGTATGAGTTTGCTCGTTTCGTACTCGTTCTCGTTTCTTCTGACACCCTGCAGCTTTTTTTTGGGTCTGGTTAGAGACCCTGAATGACATGGCTCAAAATCGTTTGCAATGGCGCAGGTGCATCCACTCTCTGTGTTCTCCCAAATTCTAATCTTCTGAATTCTTCATGTCCCTTTTTTCCTCTTTCCAAATTTCTTTCACTGGATTATACTCTTTAAATAACATCTCCAAACCCTAATCTTCCCGATTACTGCTTATACTTTTACTGTCTCTACCACTACGGGATTTGAATCGACAACCGCATCTCTGTGCTAATGTGGTGTGGCAACTCGAACTGATGTACGTACGTACGAAGTTCTACGTTGTTACTGACTGACTGAGTATGAGTTTGGAAGAATTCCGAGCGGATGACTGAGAAATCTGTCGTAGTCTGAAAAACTCTAAATTTCAGGATTATTTCAAGGACTTGTTCTCATGACTTTCCGAATAGTCAAGTCTTAAAATCTCGTGCTATTGAGATCTCGAGTTTACTAATCAAGATTAAATCAACTTGTATAGAGCATCCTCCTAAGTAAACCATCTTCAATCTGAGCACCCGGGCACAAACCCAATGATGACTACAACTGGAAAAAAATCATGTCCGATTCAATTCTTATTCTCTTGAAGTATACTCTCAGCTTTCCGGTAAAATTCGTTTCTATTTTGCATTGCGTTACGTGTCTGTTCCCTTTTATTCCCACTTTATGTATTTATTTATTTCTCAACTCATACAGCAGCTCTCCTGTGGTGGGAATCCTGTCCCATGTAAAAGATCTCAAGTCACTGGCTCGTCGAGATTTTAAGGCTACTACCGAACACGAATTCTGAACCAGCCTTTCTAAAACCATGTGTGCCATTTGAACTGGCCTCCAATGTTCGCACACTAGTGTAAATCGCACGACAGATAGATTGGATGCAATCGATGTCTTTTGTCCATCTTGGGCACGTATTCAACACTAGTGAAGTACTGTCTATTCTTTCCCCATCTATCGCTCCAAAAAGCTTGTTCCGTGTACATTTATTCAGGGACTCTGTGGCATCTTCGTATGGATTTGCTGGAGAAGTTAAATTTTTTTGGCCACTGAAACGTAAGATTAACACAAACAATGGCATAATGAGAGTCCGGATTAATACTCCAAAAGGGGAGGTAGTTTTATACACAACCTCGCATGTAAGTAGGATTTCCCTATCTGTGCTCCGTGCCATATGAGAGAGCATTCTAAGGAGGTTGACAGACTCTCCTCATCCTCGGTTGTACCAGTGTGTTCTGGGGCTAGAAATTCTTGTATGAAGACCACAAATAAGTCTCGTCTTAGAATTTAGAACCATCTATTATTTACACCTGATACCACAACTTGACGATTCGTTTTAAGTTTTTCTTTATGAAATGTCTTGAAGTTGATGTCATTAAAACGTTCTTGCTCAACTTATTAACCACTAAATCTACTTATTTCCTAAATAGGTATCATGAATTACTATTCATTGTCGATACATGTCAAGCTGAATCAATGGGCAAGTTGTTTTATTCGCCTAATGTAGTAGCCATCGGTAGCAGTGCTATAGGAGAAGAATCATTATCTGTGAGTTCAAGTTGATATTTCTCAAGGCAATACTTGAAGCTTTATTCTTTATGCACGGTCTACTTGTCATTCATTTTGATATGAATTGTCTCAGTCAACACTGAGAATATTAGCTTGCTTCAACTCATATTTGCATCCACTTTTCATTGATTAAGATTCACTGGCTTTCTTATTACACAGTTCTCTTTTAACTACCACCCTACCGAATGTTTTGAAATGTAATCCATCATTTTGACTTAGGTGGTTAGAAGGTTCCGAAATATTTTCCCTTATTCAGTCGTACAAATTATCTATATACGTTTTTCTGTGTAGTTAAATTGAGTTTTTAGTGACCATAAATCTGACTCCGATTTTATCGTATGCCGATTGCTATCTAAATATACATGTCGCCAATCCTCGTATGTTATCATCGACTTAAATCAAGTTGGTGAATAATGAATTTTTGAATACGTATATTTCATACAATCGTTGATCTGATCAGCCAATAAAGGAGACGGAGCGAAGAGGAGAGAGAGAAGCTAAACTAAATGACGCGCAGTGGAGAAGGCGATTGAGCCAACTCGATTTGTAATCCAACAAAAAATCAAGTTACAGACGAGATGAGTAAGATAAGAAATGTACACACATTAATACGCTCATATAATAACAGTCAAGGTTGATAAACCAATAAGTGACAGGGTAAAAATGCGGCTTGAAAAGAATGAATAGATCGATCTGTCTAGAGGCCAGAATAACCTATGTGGACTTGACATAGTACCAGCCCCTACATGTTTATGAAATGAAATGGCTGCAAGACGTACTGAACCGAAACTACGGACAAAAAATTGACTGTACCAAAAATGCTAATGAATAACGATGTCTAGATACAACTAGGGTGTATCATAGATGTATTTCCTGCTATGAATTCTGCGATATATTAATATTCCTCCAAACAAACAATACTCAACTAGCAAGAGTTAGAAACTCAATATTAAAGGAAAAACAACGAAATTGTGCATATATGTTCAAATGTAGTGACTGTAATGCTGTATATGTGGGTAAAACAACTACAGCAGAATTTGAGTGTGAAGCATACTCTTTAATCCTCAAATGACTTGAAGGAAAGTTAAGAAACAAGTCAGTGATACCGTTAGATTTAGTTGAGTCCGGATGTATAGTTTATTTCAGTGACACTAGACTCCTACATATATAGGCAAACCCAAACAATATTTATATGAGAGATGGAATACAATCAACTTAATTTTACACCTTATTTTATTCATCTCTTGGACAATAACAATTACTTTCACTTGTTCTAATCGATTGGTTAGTCCGAATATACAATAAAAAATCCACGTGGTCGACACAATCACGTGAACATGTATTTCTTTATTTATCCTCAAACGATGAATGGTGTGACATGTTTGATTCATATCATCTGTCAAATGATCTAATTTCAATAAATTTCTAATCCGAGACGAAATGGTCGATGCATTTTCCTGGCGTCAGATCTAAATATACTTGTTATATCTTAACACAATTTCTCCACTTTTAATACCAAATATAGACATAAGCGAACAATATTGTTTTCGATTAGATCCTCATCAGGCTTTACTCTAATATACAGTAATATTTATATGCATATATGAAATTATTAAACCAATCAAGGTAGTTTATAAGTCAATGATAACAATGAAAACGATTACATAATAAGTGAAACGTGAAAAGTACAAATTGATGGTGTGACAACAGGTGCATTAGTTTTGATAAGAATAATAGAGGTTCAAACCAATGTTACATAATCGGAAATAGGTCAATGATTAGGAAAATATAGAAACTGAGATAACAATTATAAAATTATAAGATGACGTAATAAGAAATGTTCAGATAATTGGACCATGAAACGTATAGTTGAGAGAAAATAAAGTGGTAGGAGGGTGTGAAGAAAAATAATAAACGAAGAGAATAAATAAATAAATAAATACATTCATTAATTACTTAAGGCCAAGGGAGAGATAAGGGAGTTACAAATTTCTTCTGGACACAAAGACTTGGCTTGTTGGCTCGGATTCCTATAGCTTTTGCTATGTGTAAGAGACGAGACCGAACACCATAAGGAAAACTAGTGGGAATCCGATAAATAACTTTGAACGACTTGTTTCTGTCCACTATATGACCGCTATCGATCAAGTGTGATAGAACCGAGCTGCGTATTGTTTTGACGTAACCCCTTCCTAACCACGAAGGGAGGTGTTCACTAACTCGTTGGTTCAGTTGCCTGGTAGTGCGCCCAATATAGCTTTCTCCACAGGAGCAGCTGAATTCGTAGGTACCAATAGAAGTGGCATAATCAGGTAACTTATCCTTCAATTGTGGAATCACCATCGATCGGGTCGAATACGATAGGCAGAGGTTGGCAGCATTAAATGTTCTCTTTACTGCTCTAGTCAATCTATCCCGTAATACATCGCTAGCTAAATCACCATTGAATTGCAGCTTTAAGAAAAGCGGTTTCTTATTATCCGTCAGAGTCACAATTTTCTTGTTTTGCACCCGCAAGTGTTTCTTCAGGAAACCCAGTGGATATCCCAATTCAATCAAAATATTATGAATGTGTTGTAATTCCCTATCAATTGTGTCGACTGAGCATATCTTAAGAGCTCTAACTGCAAGATATTTGACTAAGTTTCTCTTATAATGAAGAGGCACAAAGCTTAAAAAATGTGTGTATTGGCTTGGAGAAGAACCTTTTCTATACACACCTCTGCTGATAGAACCATTTTCTTTTCTACTTAACAAAACGTCCAGGAAATTTAGTTTGTTATCTATTTCTTCTTCACATGTAAATTTAATATCAGGATGTTTGTTATTAAATAGTTCCAGTAGTTGTTCTTTTCTAATGTTCTGATCGGCAATGATGAAGGTGTCATCAACGTAACGACAGTAGAAGTCCAGTTTATTGATAACCTCTTTGAGAGGTCCGTTTTCTAGTTTCGTCAGAAAAAAATCCGCAAGGATGGGACCTAGTGGTGAACCCATCGCTATACCATCAATTTGTCTATAATACGTGTTATTAAAGACAAAATAGACATTCATTGTGCATTTTAGAAGTAATTCTTTAAGACTAACCTCAGGAATTCCAATATTGATTTGTTTTTCCTGCAGTTGTTGGCACACAAGATCGATAGTCTCTGTTAACGGTACATTGGTGAACAGGGAAGCAACATCTAAAGATATCATTCGTTTACCATTTAAATTTATATGTTCCACTTTAGAAATGAAATCGAAGACGTCTTTCACGCTTCTGTTGACGACTAATTTGTGTAAGGTGTTTAGGATACGAACTAGCCACTTTGCAGTTTTATGATAAGGCGAATTATACATATCTAAAACTGGGCGAAGAGGAAGACCTGTTTTGTGAACTTTAGGTAAACCATATAGTCGCGGTGTGTTCGATCCCGTAGGTTTGAGTGAGTCATGTATGTCCGGAGTAAGAATACATTTATTTTTTTAAATTCCTTCAGTGAGTTAGTCAGCAATTTTTCTGCCTTCGTATTTAAGTCCTTAACGTCATTGAGTTTCTGAAATTTTGTCGGATCATTCAAAATCACGTTCATTTTATTAATGTAATCAGCTTTGTTCATAAGAACTAGCCCGCCTCCTTTGTCCGGCTTGCTTATGATTATAGTACTGTCGTTTCTAAGTACTTGTAAAGCATCTCGGTGCTGTTTGGTAAGTGGAGTTTTCACTGTACATTTACTATTTCTGTATTGTTGGCAGATGTCTACTAACATGGTCTTAAACCTGGTTAGTTCATCAGAAGTCGGCACCAAATCTGATGTTTGTGGAAATAAATTTTCAAACTGTACGTCTGTATCTAGTTGGTTTATTTTATTACTGTAGTCACAAAACCTAGGGCCGAGTGGCAATGCCTCTAATTGCAATGTGTCTAACGTAACACTAGGGAATAAGCTAACTCAGTCACTGGAACCTCATAAACCTGAAAGAAAATTTCCAATGGACCCTGAGCGGTACGTTCATAATTTCTGCCAACAATACAGAAATAGTAAATGTACAGTGAAAATTCCACTTACCAAACAGCACCGAGATGCTTTACAAGTACTTAGAAACGACAGTACTATAATCATAAGCAAGCCGGACAAAGGAGGCGGGCTAGTTCTTATGAACAAAGCTGATTACATTAATAAAATGAACGTGATTTTGAATGATCCGACAAAATTTCAGAAACTCAATGACGTTAAGGACTTAAATACGAAGGCAGAAAAATTGCTGACTAACTCACTGAAGGAATTTAAAAAAATAAATGTATTCTTACTCCGGACATACATGACTCACTCAAACCTACGGGATCGAACACACCGCGACTATATGGTTTACCTAAAGTTCACAAAACAGGTCTTCCTCTTCGCCCAGTTTTAGATATGTATAATTCGCCTTATCATAAAACTGCAAAGTGGCTAGTTCGTATCCTAAACACCTTACACAAATTAGTCGTCAACAGAAGCGTGAAAGACGTCTTCGATTTCATTTCTAAAGTGGAACATATAAATTTAAATGGTAAACGAATGATATCTTTAGATGTTGCTTCCCTGTTCACCAATGTACCGTTAACAGAGACTATCGATCTTGTGTGCCAACAACTGCAGGAAAAACAAATCAATATTGGAATTCCTGAGGTTAGTCTTAAAGAATTACTTCTAAAATGCACAATGAATGTCTATTTTGTCTTTAATAACACGTATTATAGACAAATTGATGGTATAGCGATGGGTTCACCACTAGGTCCCATCCTTGCGGATTTTTTTCTGACGAAACTAGAAAACGGACCTCTCAAAGAGGTTATCAATAAACTGGACTTCTACTGTCGTTACGTTGATGACACTTTCATCATTGCCGATCAGAACATTAGAAAAGAACAACTACTGGAACTATTTAATAACAAACATCCTGATATTAAATTTACATGTGAAGAAGAAATAGATAACAAACTAAATTTCCTGGACGTTTTGTTAAGTAGAAAAGAAAATGGTTCTATCAGCAGAGGTGTGTATAGAAAAGGTTCTTCTCCAAGCCAATACACACATTTTTTAAGCTTTGTGCCTCTTCATTATAAGAGAAACTTAGTCAAATATCTTGCAGTTAGAGCTCTTAAGATATGCTCAGTCGACACAATTGATAGGGAATTACAACACATTCATAATATTTTGATTGAATTGGGATATCCACTGGGTTTCCTGAAGAAACACTTGCGGGTGCAAAACAAGAAAATTGTGACTCTGACGGATAATAAGAAACCGCTTTTCTTAAAGCTGCAATTCAATGGTGATTTAGCTAGCGATGTATTACGGGATAGATTGACTAGAGCAGTAAAGAGAACATTTAATGCTGCCAACCTCTGCCTATCGTATTCGACCCGATCGATGGTGATTCCACAATTGAAGGATAAGTTACCTGATTATGCCACTTCTATTGGTACCTACGAATTCAGCTGCTCCTGTGGAGAAAGCTATATTGGGCGCACTACCAGGCAACTGAACCAACGAGTTAGTGAACACCTCCCTTCGTGGTTAGGAAGGGGTTACGTCAAAACAATACGCAGCTCGGTTCTATCACACTTGATCGATAGCGGTCATATAGTGGACAGAAACAAGTCGTTCAAAGTTATTTATCGGATTCCCACTAGTTTTCCTTATGGTGTTCGGTCTCGTCTCTTACACATAGCAAAAGCTATAGGAATCCGAGCCAACAAGCCAAGTCTTTGTGTCCAGAAGAAATTTGTAACTCCCTTATCTCTCCCTTGGCCTTAAGTAATTAATGAATGTATTTATTTATTTATTTATTCTCTTCGTTTATTATTTTTCTTCACACCCTCCTACCACTTTATTTTCTCTCAACTATACGTTTCATGGTCCAATTATCTGAACATTTCTTATTACGTCATCTTATAATTTTATAATTGTTATCTCAGTTTCTATATTTTCCTAATCATTGACCTATTTCCGATTATGTAACATTGGTTTGAACCTCTATTATTCTTATCAAAACTAATGCACCTGTTGTCACACCATCAATTTGTACTTTTCACGTTTCACTTATTATGTAATCGTTTTCATTGTTATCATTGACTTATAAACTACCTTGATTGGTTTAATAATTTCATATATGCATATAAATATTACTGTATATTAGAGTAAAGCCTGATGAGGATCTAATCGAAAACAATATTGTACGCTTATATCTATCTTGTTCTAAATTTTCAATATGGGAATATTTCAAATACGAAATATCTCATACACACTACAATAAATCTCGATTTCAAAATTATTAACGTGATTAAATAACTTGTTTATTATAAATTTGACCTGTGAACTATTTATATTCGACAATTTTGATGTTTGGTTATATTTCCTACAAATTTCTGGGCCAGATTGCCAAACAAAACGTTGAATTTACTTGAAGTTCAATCTCTGAGATTTTCATAAGTATAATTTTCCTCCTTAATTGATTGGTTAGTAGATATTTTGAGTTTCTCTCTGAACATCGAAGTACGTAGCTGGTATGTACTTGTTACACATCTTGTTTAATTTGTTTTAGATTTATGAATTTATTGGTTAATTTACAATTGTTTTGTCATACAGTTGTGATGTTTCTCACTTATTGAATCCAACTAGTGTTAACAATATTGTCTATGCATCAGTTTTCTTGACTAAATTCGTAAGTATTTTTCATGTATCTCCCTTCATACAGACTGTTGGACTGGATGTGGTTGGAATTAAGATTTCTCTTTAAATTTAATCATATTTCTATGACAACTAATTTTATACTGTGCAAAAATATTCTCACTTTTATCATTCAGCTCCATTCGGATCGCGAAATTGGGACCTATGTTTCTGATCGATATTCTTACTATGCGTTTCAGTTTTTGGAGTCTGTTACTCCTTCGAGCAAAAGAACATTGTATGATTTTGTAAGTTTTAATTATACCATAGATTTTTGTTCCTGTGCTGAAAAGTCCGTATAGCTTTATGTGCTAGATTAAACAATCGACATTAAAATTAATGGTTATCTTACTATTCCTTATATTCACCTTGTTAGTTGTCACTCTTATCACTAAAACGTAAGGGCTGGTGAAACTTTTCAGCATAATGAATGTTATACTCATAAAATGACTAGTAATGTAGTTAGTAGCTTGATTTTTACCGAAACGTCAAAAATTGATAGGAATAATAAACTGCAAAACCGAGTTTATATCGTGACAAGACAGATTTTGATATTGAAGTTTGATAAGAAAAACAGGTGAATAGAAATAAGTTGTGTTGGGGGGATTGGAAGTTAGCTTGGTGATTGAAAATGAGTGAGGCGATTTAATTGCTTCATTTGTACACACAGTTCTGCTTGGTTTATATGTGTTGTGGAAGTTTCAGCAGTTCAAATAAGGCAACAGGTCTGTGTTTTTAGTAGATTTCTACTCACTACGTGAATAACTTAGAATTTTTAATTTAGCCTCATGGAATGACCATTGTTCACAAAGTGTCCAGTCCTTGTCAGTCAGCTACAACGTAGGACCAGGCACATATATGCATCGGTCCAAGTTGCCATACCTCATTAACACAACAAGATGGACACCGGATTCATAAAAGTAGTTAATTCAGAGGTGGTAATATATAAAAGAAAGATTGCAATAAGGATATAGTACAGGAAGAAAGAATTAGTTCGTAGAAAGAAAGATATGAAGTGGTTTTAATCTTAGTTTAAGAGAAGATAGTGTATACACCTACGCCACTGTGATCGATTCTGAGCCATGTCACCAATAGTCTCCAACCATTGGTTGCGATAGTCACGCGGACCCCAACCAAGTAGTCTGCATCTACCAACATGGCTCAGACCAGAAGTTCGTGTCTTCAAGCACTGATACCACGTTTTGGTTTGGCCGCCCCTAACTTTCTTCCAACCATCCCCAACCCCGGTTAGCATTGCACGTCATGGTAATCGGTGTTCAGGCATACGCAACACGTGGCCCAACCATCTCAGATGATGAAGATTTACAACCTCATCAACTGATTTACCATCATTCCCTAATGATGTCCAGTCCTTGAGTGCAGTATGGATCTGTTTCAATATACAGATAGTGTTCTTAAATCTACAGCGATTACGATGATAAATATAATTTCTAACTTTTCAGCTCCCTTAACTATCCAACGCCTATCTGGAGATTGAAGACGTAAAATCCAGGCAAATCAACCATGTATTCACTAAGTTCCATCCAGTTATTTTTATTGCTGTTAATTTCATATTCAACTTTTGCTCTTCATCTTGTAAGTTGTGTTTCTCTGTGCCGAAGCATGATATGGTACACTGAAAAGATTAGCATATATGATAATTCCTACATTTTTTAAGAGCATTATCAACAACTGTCATTTTCCGTGACACGTAATTGTTTTTCGAGATTAAAGAAATAGCCTATATATAATTAAAACAATTTAAATGAATTGTTCTTGAACAGTTTAAGCTGTTTCAATATTATTTTGACAGTGGTTGTAACCAATGACTGGATGTCTCGTTGGGTAAATTACAGTGTTGGTAATGAATCCACAATTATTTTCTCATTTATTTCGATCATATAATTACTGAGTGTTTATTTTATTTCTGTCTAATGTTGCTTCCTGATTTTTCGTCGTACCTTTACAACATGGAGTAACTTTGATCGATACATTCTTGTGATAGACTCTATAGACTTATTAGCTTTTTCACAAGAGGATTATGTACCTCAGTAAACGTACCTAAGTCAGTTATTTAGCTATACAAATTAATTGCATTGTGTTTTTACTTCTTTATTTTGTAACCTAGTCCCAGTTATGCTCTTTCTCATTATGTCAATCAACTGTTATCACTCGATCTGATTTATTTAGACGTGATATACGTCGCGTACTTGTTACAGACTTTTTTGGTAGCGTGCGTCATATAATCCCTGGACCAGTTATAGAAATTAGCAATTCCACTTTGTATGAGAACAATACATTGTAAGTTCACTGAACATGCACATAATTATTTTTTTGATTGAGAACAAAGTGTATTTGAGAATGGACAGTTTGAAAATGTAAATCCACTCTTCCTAGTCTAGTTCAACTCATTTTGTATAAGGATAAAAAAACTTGTTTTATGTAGTGTAATTATATTTGCACTGCTCGACTACTTAATAATCTTTTAAACACAGTTATTTAAATACAGCACGGTTAACAGCTTGATATCATCTATTTATATAAAGCAGGCCTAATAACTTTGAAAGAACTTGTTCGAATTCTATAATGATTCTGTTTATTTTAACAGAAGTAGTCTCTTAGTAATTGAATTATTCATCATCCTATCAGTATACGTCACATGTTCAACCTCCATTCTACCTACTTTAGTTAAAGCAGCTGCGTTGGTATTACTATATCGGTGGTTGAAATTCATGACCCCTTTTGACGGAAAATTAAGAGTATGGTTATAAATCTTTAAAAATAAGCTACTGGTTAGCCTGAATTTCTAAGTGTATCGTTATGTGATTAGGAGTGCATTTTGTATCTCCTGTATGAATTATTTAAAACGACTGTTAATAATACACTATTGTAATACGACTAGTTATAATCCATATAAACTAGTAATCACTTTGCAATAAAAACTCATTAACCGTTCAGCACTAATTAAATGTATAGTTTACATTCTTGATCTTGGTGTCCGGAACCTCGCAGTATAATAGTGGTGTAAACATGATCAATATGCGTATTGAGTTGATTCTACGTGTGATGCATCTTGATAACAGGAATATCGTTCAAATACTCGTCTCTCTTTATGAATAATATAGTCTAACAATCTGCAAAAGTCTCTCCAATTCTTTTTTGCCTATGTTCTTCATTACTTCACTTTTTCGATGGAAGTGTAGTAAAAATGAGTTTGTTCACCTAACATCCAAATAGTGATTCAAATGTGTTGGTCGACACCAACGGATTACTGAGTTTATGTTACGCAGCCTGAAAGTAATAACTCATCTTGTTCATTTTCAAAAGTGGTTGTACTATAAACAGAATAAAGATTTAGGTAAAATGTCATTGGATGTTGTAATTCAGTCGGTTATTAATGTAGTTGGTTCCATAAGGTCTAAAACCAAAATTTTCGTGTTGTGATTTCAATATACCTGAGATACCCGACAAATAGGGCTTCTTGTGTGACGGAGATAATTCGTTCTCATGTTTGTGTTAATATCAACGTCAAGTGATTTTCTAATGTAGGAAAACTATATTCAGTGAAATGAGTGTATTTCTACAATCGTGGGCTGATCAAGTGCAATAGGTATCTGTGAAACTAACATTTCCACGCTAGTTATTAAAGATGTACATGTTTAAATTTGTAAAGCCTTAAAAAGGGTGTTTTAAACGGCTATTTTCTCGAAGATTCCTTGTTTTAGTTTTTGTGTACTTTGTCTACGTATCCAATTTTCTTTTTCATTGCTACAATGTCCTTCTATTTTTCTTTATTTTATGATTATAGAATTAAACACTGAATCGAAGCATTTTTCGTACGTTACACCTCTCAACGTGTATCTGTGATATTAGTTTTTTAATTAATATATTATTGTACAATCCGTTAGACCGTGTACATACATTTTTTTCTGTTATAATTGTTTTAAAATTTATTGAATTTCGTTAATATGCCATCATAACTTTTGTAATACCACAGGGAAGGGCTAAGTTTGTCAATCGCTATAAATTATCAGCCTATTCATGCTATCAGTAGAGCTTTATGGTTTGACCTTATCGAAGTAGTTTTTAATTTCCTAAGTGATAGTGTAATTCCGTTCGGTGCAGAAATACATGACTGACACTTGTTTCAAAGGTTAGTTTGAGATATGAAGTTCTTTGTGACAATATTTTCAGATTGAGGAATATCACCATGTTATTCCAGTTATTGTTTACGGTAAAATGGCGTGGATACTAACTGTTTTATGAACTTGTTTATCTACAGGGTATGATTAAACGGTTATTTGAGTCCCACTTAACTATGTGCAGCATCACGCTTGTTACTGTTATCATTTTCTATGAGAGAGCATTGTTTTAACGTTAAATAGCATCCAAATTCAGGAATGATGTCGTTATACATTACCCTTGTAATGTATGACAACCCAAACACATCGGAACCACTCATCGCCATGCAGCATAAGACCAGAAGTCGACTACAAATAACTTGCGGTTAAGTATTTTCCACACAACCGATGACACTAGGCATAAACAGCAGCAGAAGATTTGTGTATGTGCGTTTTAAATGATGAACCAAACAGAACGAACATTACTCTTTATTCCGAATAATCGTTGTGAGAGATAGGTTTAATAATATGATACGAAGTCCTGTTTACCGTTGGTCTGACTGCTAATTACAATCGTTAATACAGCTCGAAAACGAATATATAGTATGACAAAGATACAGGCGTTAGGTAGAAAAATAGTAATCGATAAGTGCATAATTGTAGAGATACAAGGGCATCAAAATGAGACATATTTATGCTAAGGATCAGGATCTCTTATGAAGACGGCTGTTGCGAAGGTGAAAATAACTCAACAGTCACATGCTGTCATTAGGGTCTGTTTTAAGTTAGGTTGAATATGTGAGTGCTTATTGGTAGTAAACACTACAGCGGTTTGTCTTCGTCCAATTCTTCCGTTTATTAGCTTTGTTCATGAGCACGGTTTAACTCATGAGGACTGTCTACGTCTTGGAGAGAACTTCGGGACTGCCATTCTTTTCAAGCAGTTTTACTTTCAAAATAAAATTTCATCCATCCTGTCCGATACACGGAACAATTATAGGACAGTATTTTCACTTGACACTTCCCGTCGCAAAAGACTGAAAAGTTCCGTATCAGAGAGGAATGCAAACTGAAAGAGGCAAAACGATTTATATTTATTGCAAAGGCTAGTACCACAAAGTTTGCACGAATTTGACACCTGCGTCTTTCAACCGGTTTAGTAAAATCGGGATCCTACAATGTGTTTGACGTAAATGTAGTTGCTACTCCAACGAAATTTGTCGAATAGGTACAGGTCCTAAGCAAGAACCTACATAACGACATATGAGAAAGTCCTACCACCCTTAAATGTGGTCGAGATACTGAAGACCGGTCATAGTGACAGGTCAGTTATTTTTCATAGGGTCAAAGAGAGTGAAAGCTCTGAATCGAAAACTCGTTTTGAGCATGATATTGGGTTGATAAAAGAACTACTAAATCAACCTATGCTTCAAAATATATCCGGAGTCACCTAGCTAAAGGTGTATAGATTAGGTAGTCAAGTAAACTTAAAACCAAATCATACCAGGCTGCTTAAAGTAGTAATCAAATCTCCTAATGAACGGAAATTATTTTTAGAGAATGGACATAAATTAAAGGGTTCAGGAGTTTTCGTCTGTAAGGTCTTGCCTCTGGCAGACTGTGTAAAAAGACGGGAAGCCGAAAAAGAACTACAACTTAGGTTAGACGCTGGCGAAAAGGACATAAAAGCTGTAAACTTTCGGGTTGCAAGTCTTCGACAGAGAATGATGCCGAAGCCACTCTGGGTGAAGCACGAAGCCAATTAAATAGGCTTCGGGTCTGTTACACCAATACCAGAAGCTTGCTCAATAAGCGATCGGAACTGGGTGTACAGATTGACTCTACAAAGCCAGACATAATCGCAGCGACAGGAACTTGGCAGACGCATCCTATAGATAGAATGGAACCTGATTTTGAGGGTTTTGCGTTGGTAGAAATAGACAGAATCCGGAAGCGTATAGGAGGGGCAGTAGTTCTATTAATTAGGAAAGATTTCCAATTTGCTATTATCGACAGTGCAGCCTGTAACAGCTTAGGTTGATTGGTTCAGAGTTGACCTCATACAACTAAGCATATGTCAAAACAGTATAGTTTAAGTATTCATTCCATTCCTTATTTTGTATAGATCTTATATTTTATATTATCTTATGTTGAATGTTGAGAGTCTCTGTTAGTCTGAACAGGTATTCCGCGATTCTGTGTGACTTCACGATAATCTTAACAAAAACCTATTCACTACTAGTCTGTTTTTTTCTATCAGTAGCACGAGGGTTACTTACAGGCACGAAACTGGTGAGCCTGACATGAAAGAGTAGTGTAATGGCATTAAGCCTTAATGACACAATCCACAAGGCTGAACACGAGACAATCGGGTAAATAGATATTCAACGTCTAACACGGAGAAAAACCCAACGATGAGGAGGGCGGGGACAAGGAGTTGAATTAATTCTGGTTGATCGGATGGCATGGCTCGGCCCTGCAAGTGTGGTCCCTGTTGAATGTTACCTTATGTCCTTTCCTCATATCAAATATATTGCTCTATTTCTAGCCTTCGCTTGTTCTCCATCATGTATTGGTGATTGTTACGATGCAGTGAGTTGGTGTAGACGACAATGTGACCTCCACATAAGAACTTATAGATTAGGCAGTTATATCATGACAAATCTACAATTTTAGGATTAAGTCCATCATTAGCGCATTACCAATATCATAGTAAACCATCTTTCTACAAGCCCATGGGAGTCGCATAGGTGAATTAGCTAGTTGTCGTTTGAAATGCAAGGGACAAGAGCTGCTGAGTACTCTGGTCTATCGCAGTCCAGGCTGTGAGGTATATGGTTCTTGCTAAACAGTCTCAATACTTGGTTAAAAAGTGATCGACGTCTAATCCTATGGTTCTTTAATGCACCCACGGTAGACTGGGAAAATCTGCGAACTGAATTGTTAGATAATTCATTTGAACAAGAACCAGTTGATGTGGTTGTCACATGTGCCCTGGTGCAACATGTAAAAGAATCGACTAGGTACGACCCGGACACTGAATCATCCTTACTAGATCTTATATTGATTCATTATGGGGGTGAGGTTACGAACCTCGATTATATGCCACCCCTAGGTAAAAGTGATCAAGCAGTTCCAACTCTTAACTTCCATATAATCGTCAAAAACGAACACGCGTCAGATGAATCCAGACCTGACATCTGGAAAGTAAAAACATACGAGATATAATACATTTATCATCGTCAGTAGATTGGACAATACAGCCAGAATCCTTGATTGAAATGGTTTAGGATGTCTTTTGAAATTTGTACGGAAAAGTTATTTCACCCCACATCCCTTGGACCTTAACAAGGGGGCCGAGAATCTCTCCACCATGGTTCAGTAGGGAGGTTCACATTCTTCTCCGTAAAAGAAGAAAAATGTGGGACAGATTTAGATTACTGGGGACTGATGCGACAAAATTCCAGTATCGAAAAGCTCGGGATACCTGTGCCTCGACTCTCCGTATGTCTAGAAAGTTGTACGAAGAGGAAATCGTCAAGGAACCCATAGAATGTCTTAAACGCTTGTATTCCTATATAAACCAAAGGACAAAAAGAAGAGGAAATATTCCTGCACCACGGGGAGACAATACTGCCGCATCATTAGTGGACGACGACTTTAGGAAGGGTCAGGTTTTCTCAAACTACTTTAGCAATGTATATACCACAGGACCCAAGGTCGTTCACCAAAAGTCTGGGAGAACGCCACAGTAAGTCTTGTCTTAAAAACAGTTCCGAAACAAAAATCTGAGGATTACCGACCCGTGAGGTTAACTGATGTGATTGTTAAAATCTTAGAAAAGATTATACGGAAGGAGCTGTTTACGTATCTCGACGAAAACCGGATCCTTCCGTAAAAACAGCATGATTTCAGAATAGGTTATTCTTGCCTCCCTAAATTATTAGTGGCTCGTGAATGCTGATGGGCTCTTAAGAACCAGAAGTTACCTGGAGATGTAACCTACATTGACTTCAGCATAGCTTTTGACAAGGTTCCGCACAACTGGCTGTTATATAGATTAAGAAATGTCGGGGTTGGAGGCAATATATTGATGTGGATAAAAGACTTCTTAGTTGGGCGTCAACAAAGAGTTCGGGTGAACTCAAAGTTATCCAGCTGGGAAACTGTGCTTAGTGGAGTGTCCTAGGGTACAGTTTTGGGGCCAATGCTATTCCTCTTGTATGTAAATGACCTTCCGCGTCTCCTATCACCATCGGTTTTGCTATATGCTGACGATGTCAAGGTATGGAGAGCTGTATGAAGTAAGGGTGATAGCTTCGAACTGCAAAATGAACTGGAGAAATTACCTGAATGGTATCAAACCCAGTAGTTGCCGACAAAAACTTCCAGGTGTATTGTGGTGCATATCGGTCATCAAGTTACAGATACATACACGATGAATAACACTGAGCCACATGTTGTTGAGAAACAATGACTTAGGAGTCATCGCTAGCCAAGCGGCTAGCCCAAGCTTAAAAAAGACACTGAAATATTAGAAAAGGTTCAGAGAATGGCAACTAAGCTGATTCCCGGAATAGGGAAGCTCCCGTATGATGCGTGACTGGCCAAGCTAAACCTATTCCCGTTGTTGTATCGTAGAATTAGAGGCGACTTGATTACAGATTTCAAATTGCTTAGTGCCAAATTTGCACCTGATATGCCCTCATTTTGCTTATCTTACAAACCAGAGAGTTTACGAGGACACTCCAAAAAAGTTCACAAGCCGAGAACAAATTACTTGCCAGCTGACTTTCGACTTTCCCATCGAATCATCGAATAGAATTCATTAACTTAGTACGTGGTTGAGGCTCCATCCGTCGACTCTTTCAAAAGAAAGCTGGATCAAATGAGAGATAATCATTACCAGAACCAACACAGGCCATCATTTCCTGT